TAAATCTACTGCTGGGCTTTGTTTCATTTATAATACTTCAAAACTAGCACTTCACGATAAAAATTCAACACCACATGTGTCCTTGATGGAATCAAACCACTCTAGCCAGAAACCTAGACCAAAGTAAGTTAATTCACCATCTGAAGTACAAGAGGAATCCTTATTACATATCTACGGTTTTGCTCTACTGATTTTGAAACCTGCACTGTAATAAAATCTTATCATAGTTATTCATGGACTAAGAGGAAAAAAATTTATTTGCTCTAATAAAAAGATGTATGTCAAAAAATCATTCACATCACTCACAAAGTTAAAATACTTTCCAAAGAAAATGACATATACGAATTCATTTTTAAGATTTCTAATCAAAGTAATACTCAAATTACATTAACCTCTAGCTACAAAGCATTGGTTCATTTTGTAAACATCTTGCTGTATTTATGTGTGTTTGACTCCCTTCCTCCTAAGAGTTCACGATCTGGCTATCAGAATAAAAAATAAAAATCTTGCAAATTCAGGCTCTCTTTAGATGTTTTCCTTTAAGAAATGCCTTCCGTTTTATCATTTCTGACTTTAAAGCAAGCCAGACTGTGTAATAAACTGAAGTCAAAAAAATAAAAATAACAAGTATACACAGTCAGCTCTCTCTATCTGCGGTTCCATATCCATGGATTCAACCAACCAGAGATCAAAAATATTCAGAAAAAAACACTGCATCCGTACTCAGTGTATAAACTTTGTCATTATTTCCTAAACTACACAGTTTAACAACCATTTACATTGTATTAGGTAATATTCATAATCTAGAGGTGATTTAAAATATACAGGAGGATGTGCATAGGTTATATGCAAATACTACATCCTTTTATATTAGGGACTTGAGCATCTCAGAATTATGGTATCTGTGGGAGGTCCTGGAACCAATACTCCCTCTGAGACTGAGGGACAATTGTACATATGTATGCATATAGCTACTACAATGTAAAATCGCACACTAACACAGGTCTAAGGAATTTCAAAGACTTGGGTGCTTTTACTTTTCGCCACATGAACATGCAAACTCATCAGAAGGTAAAAATTGCTTGTACAGTACTATTTTGGACTCTCATGAACAAATCTCACAATATGCCCCTTTCTGGTTTTACCACCCTTAATATAGTAAGAAATATCTGAGCTTTTAAGCTATCAAAATCAAATTTGCAGTTTTTAAGCCACTTCCTCTAGTGGACATGTTCCTCTTACAAAAATCTTTACATACCGAAACATGTATGTGATAATAACCAAGAATTCCCTTGAATTTCTATCATCCACACCAAACACTTAAAAACTTGTCAAATAGTGTACACTTTTTCCCTTTGATCAGTCTTATATTTCTCTACAATTCACGTTGTTTAAAATACAGTGAACAAAACTGGATATGCTACGCAAAAGGGAATAAACGATTTCAAAAAATAAAGAAATATATCCGTGACCTTGAATGCCAAATTCATTTAAAAATACCAGAGCATAATGTTGACTTTTGTTTACCAACTTACATGCAGCTTATGGTCATCTGTGATCGTGGCTTTCTTCCTTGCCTCTTTATTTATATATGGCGCATCCATCTCCATCCTGTACTTATATGGCTGAACTTACTCTCTACGCATACCACCCTGAACTTAAATTTCATATGGTTTTTATAGAGCCATTTCCCTATCTGTCACAGCACTTTATAGAAATGCTTAAATT